GGTCTCCCTATACATCAGAGTCCACACACCCCGTCCCCATTTGTGTCGGAGGTCTCCATCTACATCAGAGCCCCCTTTACATCCGAGGTCTCCCGTACATTAGAACCCCCCTTTACATCAGAGGTCTTCCTTTATGTCAGAGGTTTCCCTCTACATCAGATCTCTCCGTATGCATCAGAATCCCCCACAGAGCCCTCCGTTTACTTCAAAGGTCTCCCTATACATAAAAGTCCCACCTTTACGTCAGAGGTCTCCCTATACATCAGAATCCCCCCTCCTCCTTTGCCTCAGAGGTCTCCCTATATGTCAGAGGTCTCCCTATACATCAGAATCCCCCCTCCTCCTTTGCCTCAGAGGTCTCCCTATATGTCAGAGGTCTCCCTATACATCAGAATCCCCCCCTCCTCCTTTGCTTCAGAGGTCTCCCTATATACATCAGAGTCCCCCCTTTACAATACAGGTCTCTATACATCAGAGTCCCCCCCCCCCATTTTATCTCACAGGTCTCCCTATACATCCCCTTTACATTAGAGACCTCCTTATACATCTGAGTCCTTTAGCGCTTCCCATCACAGTCCCTTCTTCACATCTTCTAACATTTGACTCCAGCAGTTCGGCAGAGGGCAGGAGGTAGATCAGGCCTGGATGAGCCACTCCCATCCCTGAATGCTTGAGGCACCCCTGCATGCCGCCTGCCCTAGATTAGCGGCAAGCGTTGCCATGGTGCTGGCAGGTCGGCGGCCAGATGCCAACACCATAGCAACGAATGATGCCATGCATAGTTCCTTATAGTCATTGGTTGTTACGGTGCTGACAGCGGGCCTGCCCTCTCCATAGCAACTCATGACGCCGATCGAGGGCAAACTGGGTCCTGTACTCTCAGCACCCTGGGGGAACCCAAACAAGTCTGAAGCTGACCATACTCTGCATGTTCGTAGAGAAGTTTTTTAAAAAAAATGTTCGGCAGAACATTAGATAATACCATTATGAATGCAACAAATTCGCATGAAAACCCTGATAATGTTCTTAGATTGCCATGCCCATCGGTTTTTGATTTTGGGATGGACATGCGCATTAATTCATAGTTACAATTGCATTTGTGCGACAAAAATATTCCATCCACCTTTTGATTTTTCTTGTCACTATGGTAAAAAAAAAAAAGATGATTGTCAATTTGGCCTCATTACCTAATAAAAAATAGAATCAACATTCTGAAAAACAAATTTCCGAACAGGGGCGAACTGACCATTTGGAAACTTGGGCACTGCCCGAGGGCCCGTTGTCAATAGGGGGCCCCATGAGATGCCCCTGGTACCTTTTTCATAGGCTTTTTTTGAGTTTGGGCAAGGACACAGGGGCCCCATGATCCCCTATTGCCCGGGGGCCCCATGAGTTGCCAGTCCACCCCTGTTTCCGAAATAAATTCAACTGGTGTATGGCCAACTGGAATATCTGCCCTCTCTGGAAATGTTGATGACAGGGGCGGACTGACCATTTGGAAATTCGGGCACTGCCCGAGGGCCCGGGGTCAGTAGAGGGCCCCATGAGATGCCCCTGGTACCTTTTTCATAGGCTTTTTTTGAGTTTGGGCAAAGACACAGGGGCCCCATGATCCCCTATTACCCGGGGGCCCCATGAGTTGTCAGTCCACCCCTGTTTCCGAAATGAATTCAACTGGTGTATGGCCAACTGGAATATCTGCCCTCTCAGGAAATGTTGATGACGGGCGGACCGACCATTTGGAAACTCGGGCACTGCCCGAGGGCCCGGGGTCAGTAGGGGGCCCCATGAGATGCCCCTGGTACCTTTTTCATAGGCTTTTTTGAGTTTGGGCAAGGACACGGGCCCCATGATCCCCTATTACCCGGGGGCCCCATGAGTTGTCAGTCCGCCCCTGGTTGATGGTTGTGTTAAATGGCTATACTGTATACAGATTGTAATTCTTGGAGCAATTTCCTTTTTTTTTTTTATGCCCCCCCCCCCCCCCCCCCTCAAATTCTTCTTTAATATTGCTGGCCTTGTGTGCGCATTTTTTTTTTTTTTCTGGTGACGGAACTGTTCTGTTTCTCTTTATTTCCCCCCTTTTACGATGAGTGACAGCCGGACATGTTTGGCAGCTCCGGGGGCTGATAATCCCCCAAGGTATGGAGCTGCCAGTCTTGCCAAGCAGACGCGCTTCAAGTGTCCAGTCTGGCAGAGACTGCATGTAGCGGACGTGGCGTGAGCGAGGGATCATGTCAGATATTTGGGACATCAGAGCTGTCAGTCGGCGGCATTAATTCCTCCGTTGTCTCGTGCCGGATCGTTCAGCTGTCAGTTCTCCTGCCGGGCACTTGGCGTGTGATGGAAAGTCTTCTCACCTTACCTGCTGCCTCCTCACCTCTAAATGCCTGTCTGGAGAGCCAATTAAGTTAGCTCGTTTGACCACCGAACGCCGTGCCACGCTGCTTTGTGTTTTGTGTGACCGTGGCTTGGACGGCAACCGGTTCTGAAAACAGGTCAGTGTCGCCCAAAACTGATATTTGATTTTCATAAATGCCGACAAGTCAACTTCTAGACTTTTTTTTTCTTTTTTTACTGGCCGCAAGATATCCTCACCAGAATTTTCCTGTTCTGAAGCCATATATCACCTTCCCGCTTCCCCCTAATAAATTATAAATATGAAGAATAAATAATTGTGGAGTCGAGCTGCCAGAGAGAGGGAGAGATGTCTTCATTATGGGCTTCTGGGAGAGATTTAGAGCACAGAATAGAGAGAGAGATTCGTACCACGGGAGCCTCCGGCTCGGTAAAGAGGACCTTTCATTTTGGTCTCTCTGCAAAAAGATGCACTTCTGATTTCATCCTCATGTCATTGCATGCTGTTGCTCCTAGTGCCACTGTCTGGTCCTTTTATTCTTTGTGTATATTGTATTCTGTTTTTCCTTTTTTATTTTACCATTTGTGGACCTTGGGCATGCTGCAAAAGCCTAAAAAATGCAACGTGGAACTGCACTGCATCTGAGCACCACAAGCCAAAAATGCTATATAATTAATTGTCACAGAAAACTCACCCATCCATCCAAGTCTCCATGCTTTATTTTGCTGAGAAATCATTTTGAAAAACACCCCCTGACATTTCTCACAGTGGCCATCTTGAGTAAGGGCAGAGGATTCACGTAGCATTTATTTACTGGAATCCATCTGCCCTTAGCTCAGGCATTGGCTGAGCTGAGAACCCTCAATCCCCTCCTGAAAACTCCTGGGATGCATGACATCATTTGCCTAGGCATGGAAACTAGGAAGTAAATGAAGAAATTTTAAAAAAGTTTAACGAAAGTAAATATAATACACTTTCCTATCTATTTACTAATGCTAGCAACATAAGGATTGAAAATAGTCAGTGAGGATTGAGAGAGTGAAGTACCACTTTAAAGTATACAGGGTGTGTAAATACATCAGAAGTGACATCATTGCTTACTACTCTGCATATGATCACTGATTGGCCAATCAGTGATCACATGATCGGGACCTCGTAGAGAGGTCCCTTACGACGATCGGTGTTCCACTGTGTCCGGAGAACACAGCGGGCACCGGATCGTGGTGCTGCGCGCCAGGGAGCGGGGAGGCCGTTTATAAACTGCCACTTGCCCCTGCACTGCTCCTGTTTATATACAACGGCCGGACGGGAGGTGGTTAAAGCCCCATAAACGTATTTGCACCATCATTTACGTGAACATTTTTCTGTGTCTTCAGGTGTTCTCGGAAAGACAAGTGTGATCGGGCAGATGAGCTTCACCGTTTCACCACCGACCAGCGGCAGTGTGTCCAGCTGACGGTTCATCCCAAGAACATCTCCGTCACCATGTCTGAGGTCCAGGTGAGTCAGAACTCCGCCCCTGTGACTGCGTGCCATGCGTTTGGACAGCAGTTGTCCTGATTGAGGCCATTTAATGGTCACATGACTGGATGGTTAAACAGGATGCCTCGTGCTTCCAGGCCTCATTTTTTTTTCCTCCTCTGCAGATGGTTTTACAAGCCTGGAACGTCCCTGACCTCTCCGCCGGGGTGAACTGCTCCTTCGAGGATTTCACAGAGATGGAGGGACACATAGAGGAAAGCAAGATCTACTGCAACTCTCCTTCCTCCAAGGACGTGATCCCCATCACACGAGGACAGGGTGAGCGCCCGGAGGGCACGGTCATTAATGCGGCACCACGGGGCCCCGTGACCAGCTGGCGCACAACACTAGTGATAGATATCCCAGCTGTGCTTCAGCCTCTGAGCTCCGGGCCCCAGCATGCCGGGATTTACAGATGTGTCCAGATTCCGCTCTGAGGGCGAGTTAACCTAAATATATAAAAAGAAGTTTTGTTCTGTGGAATCGCCGCTCAGCACGTTCATACGTTGTAGGTGGCCACAGCTGACCAATGAAGAAAGGGGGCTTTTATTTAATGTGTTACTAAACCCACAGCAGTACAATCAGTCTGTAGATGCAGTAAGGCGTGCTGGTATACTCACTGTGGAACCTAAGGGGTTAATCCTCCGCATTGTTTTAAAAAAAAAAAAACAATGTCTGATCCTGTCTTCCCTGATCCTCCCCTTCTACTGTTCCCAGTACATCTGCTGATAGAACAGAGCCTTGGGGACAAGCTGCACATGATCAGGTTGGTGTGTTTTGCTAGAGAGTTGTTTTTTTTTTTCTTGGGAGAGTGTATGTGATCAGCACAGGGCCAATCAGCACTGTCCAAACAGAGGTCAGGGGTTCTGCATCCTCCTAGAACAGAAAGAAAACTTCTACAAGCTGTATCCTGTGCTCTGCTAGACACTGATAGAAGTAACAAGATTGCTATATACTGCTGATGAGGAAAGGTATTTAGCACTTTATGATTACTAAAATAATTGCATTTCCATGTTGTGTGTACTGTGGGAGACCAGATATAGGGAATGCAGGGTCCGGGGAGAGCAGATATAAAGAATGCAGGGTCCAGGGAGACCGGATATAGTAAATGCGGGGTCCGGGAGAGAGCGGATATAGTGAATGCAGGGTCCGGGGAGAGCGGATATAGTGAATGCAGGGTCCGGGGAGAGCGGATATAGTAAATGCAGGGTCCGGGGAGAGCGGATATAGTAAATGCAGGGTCCGGGGAGAGCGGATGTAGTGAATGCGGGGTATGGGGAGAGCGGATGTAGTGAATGCGGGGTATGGGGAGAGCGGATGTAGTGAATGCGGGGTTCGGGGAGAGCGGATGTAGTGAATGCAGGGTCCGGGGAGACCGGATGTAGTGAATGCAGGGTCCGGGGAGACCGGATGTAGTGAATGCAGGGTCCGGGGAGAGCGGATGTAGTGAATGCAGGGTCCGGGGAGAGCGGATGTAGTGAATGCAGGGTCCGGGGAGAGCGGATGTAGTGAATGCAGGGTCCGGGGAGAGCGGATGTAGTGAATGCAGGGTCCGGGGAGAGCGGATGTAGTGAATGCAGGGTCCTGGGAGAGCGGATGTAGTGAATGCAGGGTCCGGGGAGAGCGGATGTAGTGAATGCAGGGTCCGGGGAGACCAGATATAGTGAATGCAGGGTCCAGAGAGACCGGATGTAGTGAATGCAGGGTTCGGGGAGACCAGATATAGTGAAGGCAGGGTCCGGTTAGAGCGGATATAGTGAATGCAGGGTCCGGGGAGACCAGATATAGTGGATGCAGGGTCCGGGGAGACCGGATATAGTGAATGCAGGGTCCGGGGAGACCGGATATAGTGAATGCAGGGTCCGGGGAGATCGGATACAGAGAATGCAGGGTCCGGGGAGACCGGATATAGTGAATGCAGGGTCCGGGGAGACCAGATATAGTGAATGCAGGGTCCGGGGAGACCAGATATAGTGAATGCAGGGTCCGGGGAGACCAGATATAGTGAATGCAGGGTCCGGGGAGACCGGATATAGTGAATGCAGGGTCCGGGGAGACCGGACATAGTGAATGCAGGGTCCGGAGATTAGTAACACTTTAGTGTTGTTGACTTTTCAGCTCTTTTTAGCTCTAGGGTCACCATACATGTCAGCACACAATTGACTTTAGATATACCAACACTATACCCCGTCCATCCAATCCATTTGTATCCACTTAGGAATGCCCTTCCTCCTAGATACTTAATGGTAGATCTAAAGGAGGATTGTACAATCAGATTGTATAGTGTATGGCCACCTTTAGAAAGATTTAAGGTTAACTCCAGACAAAAGATGAAAATCTCAGCGTCTCATGCTTGTGCCCACTGTATATGTAGCATCGTAAAGCCTATTTAGAACATTTCATCACATATCCCAAAAATAAAAGGATTATTCATCATTCTAGAACAGTGGGCGGAGCCATGCATGCCATTCCTTTGCCCCCCCCATCAGCCAAATGCACATCCAGAACCACAGGGGTATAGTGCAAACATAACTTCGTGTTATATATCCCTGTATTCCAAACTGCATACAGCTGTTCCAGGCTTTTTGGCCATTATCAGGGCAGCGTATGGAAACCTTGGCATCTATAGAGCTTGGGATCCACTGAGACGTGCTGCAGTACTTCTTTCTGCCAGCAGATGTCTTCAGTCTGATGGCCAGTGTCATTCAATTCACTTTTTTTCTGAGCCCAGGTCATCTTAAGCCTGCCGCCGGCATGTGTGTAGACAGTAAAAGGAGAATCAGCACAGTGAGGAGCTCATCAAGGTAATTCTGCTCTCTCCTCCTATCAGCAAACTGTACTGCTTCTTCTCACACTCCAGCCCTGCTGTAGAAGGATTGGAAGAGGCCGATACCCCAGGTCACATGCAGGTTCTTGCAATAGAGAAGGAGAAGCAGCACACTGATCTCCTCTCTCTGTCGCTCTGCTCTCTCCTCCTATCAGTTTGCTCCTTGTCAGCATATGGACTGATTGGCTCCTTATGTTGCTTCTTCCTCATATCCCAGCCCTGCTGTAGCAGGACTGCAAGATGCTGATTACAGGTCACATTCAGGTGTGAAAAGGAAAGATGCCACAATACTAACAGCCCATGTATGAGTTCAGATGAATAGGAGCCTCAGCCTAGGCTCCTCCCAGGCCGCGCCCACTGATGCATTTTGCCCCCGGGAGAAACGCATCAGAAGCCATGATGTAGGAGGAGCCTAGGCTGAGGCCGCTATTCATCTGAACTCATATGTGGGCCTTTAGTAGTACAGGGTCTTTCACATTGTATACCACAGACACCAACACCCCCACCATACAATGGATCACCAGAGGGAATTGACTAGCACTAAATGGGGTTCGTAGGTCATATTTGGGTACTTACACTGGAAAAGGAGAAGCAGCACACTGACGAGCTCATCTTTCTGTCACTCTGCTCTCTCCTTCCATCAGCATGCTCCTTGTCAGTACATCAACTGATTGGGATAAGCTTCTTGTCCTTCTTCTTCCTCTCACATTCCAACCCTGATGTAGACTGCAAGAGGCTGATACCAGGTCAAACACCAGGAAGCATTCTACATACAAATACAATTTATGAGCAAATATGTAGCTGCAATTGTTTTTTGTTTTTTTTGGTGTTTTTTTTTTATGGTGTTTTTTTTTTTTGGATGTTTTTTTGGGTTGTTTTTTTTTGGTGTTTTTTGGGGATTTTGTTCTTTGGGTGATTGAAAGCTTTTTTTTTTTTCCTTTTTCTTCTTGGTGATCTATTAAGTGATGCTCGATCTACTACATATGTCTATGTTCCCTCCAATTATAGACGTGATGCAAATGGGTTGGCGACTCTCCTAGCTGCAGTTGTTTTTTTTGGTGGTTTCTTTTTTGGTGGTTTTTTGTTTTTTTTTGGGTTGTGTTTTTTTTCTTTGGGTTTTTTTTTTTGGTTGTTTTTTATTTATTTTTTTGGTTGTTTTTTGGGGGATTTTTGTTCTTTGGGTGATTTGAAAGCTTTTCTTCTTTTTTTTCTTGGTGACCTATTAAGTGATGCTCAGTCTTCTACATATGTCTATGTTTCCCTCCAATATCTATAGACATGATGCAAATGAGTTGACTCTCCTAGCTACAGTTTTTTTTTTTTTTTGGTGGTTTTTTTTTTTTTTTTGGTTGTTTTTTGGGTTGGTTTTTTTTTTTGGTTGTTTTTTGGGGTTGGTTTTTTTTTTTGGTTGTTTATGGGGTTGGTTTTTTTTTTGGTTGTTTATGGGGTTGGTTTTTTTTTTGGTTGTCTTTTGGGTTTTGTTTTTTTTGGTTGTTTTTTTTGGGGTTTTTTTTTTTTTTGGTTGTTTTTTTGGGGGTTTTGTTCTTTGGGTGATTGAAAGCTTTTTTTCTTTTTCTTCTTGTTTGCCTATTAAGTGATGCTCGTCTACTACATATGTCTATGTTCCCTCCAATATCTGTAGACATGATGCAAATGAGTTGGCGACTCTCCTAGCTACAGTTTTTTTTTTTTTTTTTTTTTTTTTTGGGTGGTTTTTTTTAGGTGGTTTTTTTTTTGGGTTGTTTTTTTTTTTGGGTTGTTTTTTTTTTTTTTTTTTTTTTTTTTTTTTTGGTGGTTTTTTTGGTGGTTTTTTTGGTTTTTTTTTTTTTTTGGTTGTTTTTTTTGGTTGTTTTTTTGGGTTGTGTTTTTTTTGCTTGTCTTTTGGGTTGTTTTTTTTTTTGGTTGTTTTTTGGGGGGTTTTTTTGGTTGTTTTTTGGGGATTTTGTTCTTTGGGTGATTGAAAGCTCTTTTTTCTTTTTCTTCTTGTTTGCCTATTAAGTGATGCTCAGTCTACTACATATGTCTATGTTCCCTCCAATATCTATAGACGTGATGCAAATGACTTGGCGACTCTCCTGCGAGTGGGCAGGGGTCGAAATGACAGCACAGAGCCCACTCGGCGTGATGAGGGGTCAGGTCTGGCGTATGATGCAGCGCGGGTAACCGCAGGCGTCAGGGACTCCCGCCCGGGACACAGAAGGGACCAGCCTGTTTACTGCCTTCATTCCAGCTTCATAAATGCAGCTCGAGTCGCACAACAAAGGAGCCCAGTTTGTCAGAAAACGCCTACTCAGCTCTTGTGCGCTTTTCCTTCGCCTTTTAAGAGCTGACTTTTGTTTGAGAACAGAAGCCGCCTCTGTTTTTCAACACTCACCCCCCTTCGTTCCTAATCCCGCCGCTAATTCCCCAGTTTAATCGTTCTGCTGCATTAACATTCGCGGCAGAGGCTAAGCTGATCCAAAGTGGCCATTTTGGACGAAGCATGATGTCACACAGCGGGGCGGGGCCTAGGCGATACAGGCTGATGCTCGGCTGAGCATAAGAAAATGAAGATACAGGCAGCGGTGGGACATTTTTTTTTAATGGGTAAAAATGCACCCCTCCCCCATCCCAAAGAAAAAAAGTGTCTCTAAACCCAAAAATAAAAACGTCATATATTGTAGCTTACCAGGTCTTAGGTGTGGTGGCCGCATTTCTTTTCATTTGTTTTCCTTTTATTTTCACCTGGTGATCCTGCCAGTAAACACACTTCCTGTCCTAGCTCCAGCACTCGCTGCACAGTGTAAAGGAGCGGTGTTGTCACCCTGGGACAGGAAGTGAGTGTTGGGGCTACAGACCCCCCCCCCCACTTATCTATATAAAACAAGGGGGGTTCTGTAGTCCGCATGGGCCGGGCTGACAGTACTGCTTTAGAAAACATGGCAAAGTGCACTGGACATCACTGGATTTCTGGCAGGATCAACAGGTATTTTGTTGCACTTATGAAACAGAAATAACAAAACGCTTTGCATGGTATACAGTACTTATCAGATCAATAGGGAGCAAGTAGGAGAAGTTTATTGTTGGGTTTACATACACTTTATATCTGACCTCCAGCCTCCCTTTAAAGTGTTACTAAACCTGCATTTACTATATCCGCTCTCCCCGGACCCTGCATTCACTATATCCGCTCTCCCCGGACCCTGCATTCACTATATCCGCTCTCCCCGGACCCTGCATTCACTATATCCGCTCTCCCTGGACCCTGCATTCACTATATTTGGTCTCCCCGGACCCTGCATTCACTATATCCGCTCTCCCCGGACCCCGCATTCACTATATCCGCTCTCCCCGGACCCCTGCATTCACTATATCCGCTCTCCCCGGACCCCGCATTCACTATATCTGGTCTCCCCGGACCCCGCATTCACTATATCCGCTCTCCCCAGACCCCGCATTCACTATATCCGGTCTCCCCGGACCCCGCATTCACAATATCTGGTCTCCCTGGACCCTGCATTCACTATATCCAGTCTCCCCGGGCCCTGCATTTACTATATCCGCTCTCCCCCGGACCCTGCATTCACTATATCTGGTCCCCCTGGACCCTGCATTCACTATATCCGCTCTCCCCGGACCCTGCATTCACTATATCTGGTCTCACCTATATCCGGTCTCCCCGGACCCTGCATTCACTATATCCGGTCTCCCCGGACCCTGCATTCACTATATCCCGGTCTCCCCGGACCCTGCATTCACTATATCCGCTCTCCACGGACCCTGCATTCACTATATCTGGTCTCCCTGGACCCTGCATTCACTATATCCCGTCTCCCCGGACCCTGCATTCACTATATCCGCTCTCCCCGGACTCTGCATTCACTATATCGCTCTCTCCCTGGACCCTGCATTCACTATATCTGGTCTCCCCGGACCCTGCATTCACTATATCTATGGGCAGCACAGTCGCTAAATGGTTAGCACTCCCACCTGGCAGTACAAGGTTCGTTGGTTCGAATCCCAACCACGGCACCACCTGCCTGGAGTTTGCATGTTCAGGGAGAACATGCAAACTCCACACAGGGAGTGCCTGCATGGGTTTTCTCCTGGTACTCCGGTTTCCTCCCACACTCCAAAGACATGCTGGTAGGTGAATTGGCTCCTGTCTAAATTGGCCCTAGTATGTGTATGTATGAATGTAAGTTCGGGACCTTAGATTGTACTCCCCTT